GCGGCGGGCGGACCGGGGGGGGAAGGCCTTTCCCCAGCGCACGGCGGCCGGGCCCTTCCCGCATGTGCTTCGCGGCTCGGCCGTTGTCTCCGGCCCGGTCCCGGCGGCCGAGGGGCGGCGGAGCTGCAGCCCCGGGGGGGCCACACGCTGTTCCGCGACCGGGGGCCAGATTTCTTCCCCGTGGCGGCGGGGAGCCCGCCCGGCATGGAGCGGGTAAGGGCTCGGCTCGGCCCCTCGCTGCTCTTCTGGGGCGCTCCCCTCGCCCCCGGCCCCCTGCTCTCCTCCGGACCCCAGCGGCGCCCCGCTCTCCGGAGGTTTTCGGTGAAGGACCTCCCCGGCTCTCCTGCCTGCCTTTCCCCACTCCTCCTCCTCCTCCTGCTCACCGCCTTACTTTGCTAAAGCAGGATTTTTTTCACTTCCAAACGTGTTGTGACGACCGACTAACAAGTAGGCAGACTTCTAAGCCTTGCTTTCCAGCTGCTCAGCAGCAGGCAGGCTGGGGAGGACACAGCAGAGGTAGTCTTAAGGACTTAACGTTTAGCGTAAAGATAAATTCTGTGTATTGTCAGAGCTGTGCTGGAGGGAGCTTCCCTGCTGTGGAGACATGCCACAGAATAAGCTTCAGGAAAGATGATAAATCTTCCTTTTGGGGCCTTTAAAATGGGAGGAGGAGAAAAAACTGAAAACCCAATCTGTGGGAAGTCCTGGCTGGGAGAGTGTGGCTTAGTGCTAGGAAGAGTTTATTGTCTCTAGTTTCTGTAATGAAAAGGGCTCATTTGGTGCACTCCAAATAGGGAATATTGCAGGGCCCGTGTCCCACCCTGTTTACACAACATGATTCAAGCATAAAGCCAGAAAAGGGGTTTGTGACCCACCACATAAGATCTCCCACGTAAGATGGGAGAGGACTTCAGAAAACTCAGGTTTGGAATCAGTTTTGCAGGTGAGAGATTTGTGCTTCTTTTAAACATTGTGCCTTCCCCCCACCCCATATTCAGGGCTCTCCCAGGCATGTTCCAAGGTGAGCTGGAGTGGTGCATTTCACAGCTGGAGGCAAATCTTCACCTCAGTCCAACCCCAAAACAAGGTACGTTGCCTCTTTCACAGTCTGCAGCCATATTCCAGCCTCAGATCTTACGGAGCAGACCTGGACGTTTTTCTGTTTCTTCTCTCCCACCTGTTTCCTTTTCTCATGTTATATGAGATTTCTTCTCAAAACAGAACAGCATAAAGCATTGAACTTCGAAGAACTATTTGTCTGGAAGCAGCTTTATCTTTCATTCCTGTTTTCTGTATTCTTTCTCAAGTTGTCCCATCTAACAGCTTGTTCAGTTCTCCTACACCTTTGCTTTTGTTTTCCAGCCTTAAGGAAATACTGTGTCAGTGTGCCTGGCCCTTAAATGCCAGTAGGTTTATTTTTGCGGAGCTTGTTCCTCGCTGTTGTTGTTCCAAGGAGAAATGACATGAGAGATAAAATTGTATAAAGTACATTTCAGAAGATCACAGTGTGATTTAGTCAATATATGTATTTTGTCAATATATAAGGATATATGTCCTGCTCCTTCTGATAAGCTAGTACCTGGCTGCAGTGGTGCTGGGTGTGAGATTCTCAGCTTAAAATAACTCCCAAGTGAGCGAGGGAAGAGGTTCCCCTGAAGCTTTTTTGAGTTCTTGGTTTGCGACACCTCTTACTCATGAGCAGGCCTTGAATGCAGCCAGCTAAACCCCTTGAAGTAGGGGGAATGTGTGCTCAGCACCCTGACACCCAGGTGCTATAACGATACATCACACTTTTTTGAGGGGGTACAGCTCCACTGCAGCATTTCTGCCTCGCACTTGCCGCTACTCTGTTCTTAGCACGGGACTGTGGCTGTTGGATCTGCAAGGTAGAGGTCATTTGGAGAGTCCCAGAGAGATGCACTGCAGCCAAGAGAGATGGGTGCCCATTCCAAAATACTCATCGTACATCAAGCTTTTTTTGTGGCTTGAAATGTGTGAGACAAACACTGGGAGACTGAATATCTGGAGTTCCCAAACTGATATCTTTGGGGTTCGCTATCACAGAGGAATAACCATGCTTTTTAGAGAATTTGCTCTGACAGAAAGAACTGGGGTTACTGTTGTGCTCAGGCTGGTTTGTAGGAGAGTCAGGCAAGAGTCCTGCTCTTCAGCGTGTGTGCTCTACTCACTCATTCCAGTTTTCCAAAGAAGAGACACCAAGCTCCTGGATTTGCGTCTTGCTTTGGGAGAAGGATTTTAAGCCCTGTGTAGCTTCTATTACTACCATTAGTAGTGCACTTATGCAGCATAAGATTCTTATTGTATATAATAAGCAACTAAGGTCTATTTATTTTTTTTTCTTTAAGAAATTTTTCCTTTAAGAAACATTTTTAGAAGCTGAAAAGAAGTATTTCAGCTTCTAGAGGCATTTGGAGTTTCCTTTCAATCGATTGCCAGTTATGGGTTAGTCAGAGGTGGTACGAACACAGAACACATTCGGAGGAGACCCAGTCATCAGCACCTCACCATGTGGTTTGTGAGGCCCACCATAACCTGTTTCTTGTCTCTCTTGGTCTCTTTCTCGAGTGCAGCAGAGGAGACACAGCACATTCTCAAGGTGCTGCGCTCCCGTGAGGTTCCTCTTGTGAAGAAGCAACAAGTGATGAACCACGTGTTTGGGGATTATCATCTCCAGATGGCTGAGGATCAGAAGAGCACAGAGAAAGCAGGTGGGCTGGAACTGTCCCTTCAGGGGATGGTGATAATTTGGTTCTTTTCTGAATATTTCTTACGTTGCGGCTTCTGATTGGATCGCCTCTCTGCGGCAGTGCCCTACAGAAGTGGCATCTCCATAGCAGGAAACTGGCATATTGACAGAAACAGTATTTATCTTTTCTAGCCGTGAAGGTACAGCAAAGCGATGGGCAGGCTCCAGAAGGTGTGGTATGTGGGAAACAATCTGACCAAATCTCCGACGCAAAGCTGAAGGGGCTCATGTCATCTGACAGCAGCTTCCGCTTCGATTTTAAACTTTCTGAGGTTGACCCAGCAGCAACGGGCACACCTTCGGAAGCGGTCCCTGGTGTCAGTGGTGCTGAGCAGATTCAGACCAACTCCACTGCGCGTGAGAACTGGAACGGAGCCTTGAGTTTTGCTGCCTCTGGACAAGAACCCAAGTTTGCTTTCAACTTTTCCATCCCAAATGAAGACTGTCCTCTTGTTCCATCCGTCCCCGCAAGCCCACGCACAGAGCGCCCAGCAGATCATGAAGTGCTGGGTGATTCACTGCCAGCTGAGCCGGCAGCTCTGCCGCAGGTTTCAGCCTTGCAGAAGCCTGAGTTGACTCCAGCTGCAGGTAGTGCACCCAAAGAGGACAGCAGCCATGTCACATTAACAGTCCCCCAGCCAGAGACTGCTCCTGGAGATGACACGGTGACAGAGAAATCAGCAGCAGATGGAGCTGCCCAGAAGAAGAAAAAGAAGAAGAAACAAAAAAAATCTGGCGGTAAGGAGGAGACAGCAGAAACTGACATCAACAGAAAGGCAAAGGCAGAAGCTAATGGATGTCAGAATAAAGATAATTACCACCAGGATGCGACCTCTCAGGTATTTAAATATTGATGGGATCCTGTAATTTATAAACCCTTGAGCAAAAGAAACTTCATCTCTTTGCGTAGTTTAACAGTTGGTATACTGGCTTGAGATGAAGGCTGAAAGACAAGGGTTTCTTACAGCAGCTGTTCTCTTTCTGTGCTAGGCAGTTGAGGAGCCCAGCTAGTGGAAAGGAAGTTAATGGCCCTTCATTGCCTACTTCAGACTCGTGCTGAAACATTTAGTGTTTAGATTTGTGACGGCTAACCCCGGGAAGCTGGGTGCCACATATTCTTAAAAGAATGAAAAATGCAGGTAACTCTCCTCAGTCAATGCCAAGCTGGTATCTGTGTGTGCTGAGCCAGGCCCTGTACCCCTGGCGGGTGAATTGCTCACCCTGTGCCAGTAGCAAAGGTGAGGTGCAGAGCCTGGTGTGGCCCCAGCCGTGGCGGGGTGTGGTGCAGGTTCACCTGCTTCCGAGAAGGTTCCCGCTGTAAGGCATGGCCCAGAAATTGACTGAGTTGCAAGTTGTGTGTAAACACACCATTAAGGCACACCTTGAGTTTTTCTAATGTCCTGCTAAGGTCCAGGTCTTCATTTTAATTTTCTTTTCAGCACTGATGTATTTATTATTAACAAACAACACCGGCTGAGCAACACCGAATTACAAAATTGCAAAAAATCTGCTTTCGTTAATAGTGTACATGGAAGTCACACTGAGTGTTCCGCTGCCTCTTGGAGCATTCCCTCCCAAGTGCTGTTTCACTAACAACCCTACCAATAAACACTGCTGAGTAAGAGAAAGGCAAAAAGACTGGAGGTGATGTGAAGCCCTTCCAGTCCAATGGAAGGAGAGTGTTGTAAGGAAAAGGAGGAGACAGCACGAGGGCTTTTGTATTTACATATCAGTTAAGAATTGCTCTGGCCCTGGGTGCAGCCCTGTTTCCCTCTCCCTTCCAATGCATATTTGCTCAAAGGGACTTGGCTTGTTCTGTCTTCACGGGCTCCAGCTTCCCTCTGGTCACACGTTTCTGGCTGAGCAAGCAGCAGTCGAGACACCGAGACTCAGCTTCTGGTTTTGTCCGTTGTTTGCTTTTTGATTTCTGACAGCTTTGGGGGTAGGTTTTTTTCCTTGTTAATGCCTTTTCCTCCCATCTGTGAGTTGATTTGACAGTTTGTGGGGTTTTTTTCAGAGAAAAGGCCCTGGAGAGTTTTCCAGAAAACAGGGTCGTCTGAATGGGTGCCAAATGTTAAATGCATCAAATAGAGGCAGTGAGGTGCAGCTAAACATTTGTCCAGTGCTTTAAGTTTGTCCAGTGAAAAACACTATAAGGAAAATTTCAAGAAGTCTATAAACCGATCACTAGAACATGAAATTTGGAATAGTCCCAGCTTTATGCAGATACCTTTTTTTTTCCTGTGTAGTAACTGCTGCTCTAATTTTTGAATGACTTCTTCCCTCCTGCTCACTCTGCTCTATGTTGCATAGCAGCCAGATGAACAGCTGTGGAAAGAGGTGGACTGGTGTGTGGAACAGCTGGAACTTGGCCTGAAGACACAGAAATCCACTCCAAAACAGGGTGAGCCTTCAAGTAGCCCCCATGGGAAGGGGTGGCAGCGTGCAGGGGCAGAGCCAGTGGGGAGTCTTAAACTGTACATTGTTTCTCCTTTGCACTGCTCCAGCTGAGGAGGCTCACCGTGCCATCAAGACACTGCGCAGTGACAAGGCTCCACTGGTGAAGAAACGTCAGCTCATGAGAGCCATGTTTGGGGACTACAGGAAGAAGATGGAGGAGGAGTGGCGCAAAGAGCTGAAGCTCATGGAAATAGGTAGGAGAACTTTGCATGGTGGGGAAAGAGAAGAAGAAAGGGCTTCACTCCTGCTCTCCATATTGCTTGGCAGAGTGGGACCTCACTATATGAGGTGACTAAACATCTCTTATTGGTCTTTTCTCCCCTCTTTAAGCTATGAAATCTGCCAAGGTGGTGGACTTGAAGGGAAACATCTGCAACAAGAACTTCCAGTTCATCCGGAAGAGCTCAGCAGCTTCCAGGAAAAGCCAAAGTTCGGCGGGGTCTCCTTCGGAGTCAACCAGGACACTTAACACAGACTCACTGAAATTTGCAACTTCCCAAGAAGAGTTTTGCTTTAATTTCTTCTAGAAAAGTCTTTTAGACTAAAACTGTAGCTAAAAACTGTGCCAAATCTCCTGTAAACTTAAGAATGGTGAAAGGATGCTGTGTAGTAGAAAATGTTATGGAAGAATCTCTCTGTATTTCCTAAAGAAAGGATCCTCTTTCAGAGTGCCTTATCTAGAAGTTTAAAACAGATCTGCCTACTACAGGTGTGACCCCAAGCCTCAGCTTCCACACTGCTCCTCTGTCCTCACGGTGTAGAAAGGCACCTTTCCAAAGATCAGCACAGAGTCTGGAAGGATCTGTTTTTCTTCCTACAGAATTGACATCAACCAATTCTATACTGGGAGATTTTCCTGTTTGCTTCCTGCTTTTAAATAGAGCAGACCTTTTATAGCAGATGAGGCAGTGATGCCTGCACAAGGGAATGGTTTGTGATGAAGATCCAGCTTCCATGAAGGTCCAGCAGTGTATCCACTAACTCTGATGGATAGTGGAATGCTTCCATTCCATGTGAGTCTGTGTGAATGCAGTGTCTGGTATCCAGAAGGGTCTGGGCAGCATGTGTCATCTCTGCCATCTAGAGAATGCAAGCTCAGGATCCTGGAGGAGAATGAGCGAAAGCCATCCTTGCTTATTCATCCCTTTAATTGGCAGGTGTAGGCTTAGAAGACAACTGTAAATGCTGATTTAATCTAGCCTAGGAATATAAGGACAGTTGTTTCCAGACAGGGAAACACTTTTGTTGCTAAAGCCAGGTTCTAGCCAGCTGGGAAGGATGTACAATCAGTTATTAAAAAAAGTTTACTTTATAAGTAGTCCCTTTACAGCCACCAGTGACTCTGAGGATAAATCAGCTGTGTGCCAGACCTTGGGTGGCAGTGAAATCAACTGCGAGCCCAAAGACTGTCTCGCATTTGATTTGTATTAGATTTTTGCTTTCTGAACAGTTAAATGTGTGTCTCCAGCAATTCGATACTGCATCAGTCACTGAGCCCATCTCCTGTGTTCATGCAGAAAATCTTCCCCAGGAAGCCTAGAAAAGCTGAAGGAACACAAGTCCTTTAAAAGGAAACATGGTATCAGGTGTCCCTGGGGTGCAGCACTTTCCTTCCTTTTTATAGTCCAATCAGTCATCCTGTACGAGAAGCGAGCAATGGGAGTGTAGGCAGATTCCAGGGTGTACTGAGAGCAGTGAGAGATGGTGGGAAACATACGCTGGGAAAGACTTCAAAAAAACTGATGTAGGCTACAAAAAAATTTATTACTAAGCTCTGATGCAATCAGTTGCATCTGCAAGGATGGGTTTTTTTGTTTTAAATATTTTAAAGAATGCCTGTCTAGGCATAAGGAGAAGGCGAACTGGGTAACGTATCTGATCAGGAGAAATACACAGACTTTAAGTCTTCTGGAAATCAATAGGTTAAAACTGGAAATGAATATGTTAGCAGATCATTATTTTCCTTGCTGGGGAGCACTGCTGTTACTTTGCGTGGAACAACACTATACAGTAGTTTAGGGATTTCCAGGATTTTATAGTAAACATACAAAAGCTATGTCATTGTCAAACTTCTAGTGTTTTCGTGCCATTTACTACGATTAAAGAGCGTCCTCTACATGACCTTGGAAGTACAGCTGTTTTCTTACTTACCTGGTTATGCAGTGTGTGTCTGGAAAATAGTTATTTTTTTTTTCTTCTCTTGTTTCAGGTAAAGCTGGAGTTGATAAAATCCACGTTATAAAATCCTCTGCTGTGGCAGGCTACAGGAGTATTCTGGGAAGAATTCATTCCTAATTGCCTCGTGCTTATACTGTTTGTTAGGCACTGACAATTAGAATAAAGATACCAGTGAGATGGACACTTGATGTAACCTAATCCAGTCGGTTTATAGAATCATAGAATCATAGAATCATTGAGGTTGGAAGAGACCCTTGGGATCATCGAGTCCAACCATCTCCCCTACTCTACAAAGTCCTCCCCTACACCATGTCCCTCAGCACTGCATCTAAACGGCCCTTAAACACAGCCAGGGATGGGGACTCCACCCCCTCCCTGGGCAGCCTGTTCCAATGCCCGACCACTCTTTCTGTGAAAAATTCCTTCCTAATGTTCAATCTAAACCTACCCTGTTGGAGCTTGAAGCCGTTCCCTCTCGTTCTATTGTTAATTACCTGTGAGAAGAGACCAGCACCAACCTCTCTACAGTGTCCTTTCAAGTAGTTGTAGAGAGTGATGAGGTCTCCCCTCAGCCTCCTCTTCCTCATACTAAACAGCCCCAGCTCCTTCAGCCGCTCTTCATATGATTTGTCTTCTAGGCCCTTCACTAGTTTCGTTGCCCTCCTCTGCACTCGCTCCAGCACCTCCAGATCTCTCTTGGATTGAGGTGCCCAAAACTGGACACAACACTCGAGGTGTGGCCTCACCAGTGCTGAGTACAGGGGCACAATCACCTCCCTACTTCTGCTGGTCACACTATTTTTGATACAAGCCAGGATGCCATTGGCTTTCTTGCCCACCTGGGCACACGGCCGGCTCATATTCAGCCGTTTGTCAATTAGAACCCCCAGGTCTCTTTCCTCCAGGCAGCTCCAGCCACACTTCCCCCAGCCTGTAGCGCTGCAGGGGGTTGTTGTGGCCCAAGTGCAGGACCTGGCACTTGCCCTTGTTGAAACTCATGCCGTTGATCTTGGCCCAGTGATCCAATCTATCTAGGTCTCTCTGTAGAGCTTCCCTATCCTCCTGGGAGTCAACACTCCTGCTTAACTTGGTGTCATCTGCGAACTTGCTGATGATACACCCTATGTCCTTATCGAGATCATCAATAAAGACGTTAAACAGAAATGGTCCCAACACTGAGCCCTGAGGCACACCACTAGTGACCGGCTGCCAGCTGGATTTAAATCCATTGAGCACCACTCTTTGGGACCGTCCATCCTGCCAGTGCTTGATCCAGCAGATCGTATGCTCATCCAGGCCGTGTGAAGCCAGTTTTTCCAGCAGATTTGTATGGGGGACAGTGTCAAATGCTTTTTGAAAATCCAGGTATACAATATCAACAGCCTTTCCCTCGTCCAATAATCTGGTTATCTTGTCATAGAAGGAGATCAAGTTCGTCTGGCAGGACCAGGAGAAAATTGCATTCTAATACATGAACGGCTCCTGCGGTGTTTCAGAGACCTTCCCAGGATGCTGACCTGCAAAGCCAGCCCGTGCTCCTGCTGCTGGCTTCGGTGTGGGAGGGCTCGGAAGGCAAATGCTCATCGATGTGACATGTCATAGCCCTGAGTGTCCCCTTGACCTGTGGACCTTAGTGCCAGACCCACAGCCGGCTGGGTCAGTTCCACCAGTCACTACGTCGTCTTGGACAAGGCTTTTTGCCTTTCCATGCCCACTCCCTGTTCTCACAATCGAGAACAGGTGCCTCCTGCATTTTTGGCAGACATGCCCAAGTTATTTCATTATAATGATTGCTTCTTGAAGAGGCAACTCTATGGTATTTTGCATCTGAAATTATAGCAGTCTTCTCTCAAGCTTTACATTGTTTGAAGCATCTCTGCTGCACTGGCATTTGCTCAGAAGGAAACAAGCAATGTTGCTACAAGTTCGGAAGTGCTATTGCTGCTCTGTCGGTCCTTTCCCCTTTATAGGAGCCACAGTGCAGGCTTAGTGACTTTTTTTTAAAAAATTATATTTTTCTCCTTTTAGCATTTTTTCTTTAGGATTTCAGTGCTGTTTAGGGTTTCAGTGACATCTCTTATTGCAGCAGTGTCAGATTTGGGTCAGGGCTTTCCTCTCCCAGTTACTGTAATACAAGTGCCTGGAGGGACAGTCTGTGCCTGAAGGCACTGATGATCTACAGTGGTGGGGGAGAAAGGAGATGTTCTCATCGGTGTGGAGTTCTCTTGTTCTGGTATTCTTGCATTAAGGAAACGTAGCTCAGTTTTGGTCAAAAACTGAGCTCAGAATGACCTGCCTGTCTCTGCGTCCTCTCCTCACTTCGCGCCCTGCTCTGAGATGGGTGCAAGGGGTGACTGGATTTGCGGTGCCGTGTCTCTTTGGTGGCTGTCCACCAAACCACTTCAAGATCTTCTGTGGTTACGACCTCAGGAATGAGTTACAGACTCAGCAAAAAGGGAGTGCAAAGTACAACAGTGCCTCTAGAGCAAAACTTGCCTAATAGCATTTGTCTTGAAGAAGTAAAAGCTGAGGATCAACTTGTAAAGTGAGTAATGGAATGACGGAACACTATAATCTGTATTAGACAATTCACTGTAGCACAGCAGAGGAAATATCTCACTTTTGGGAACAAAGTGAAGAATTTTGGAGATGTTTCTGTGGCAGGGTGAGCCCAAGAATGTTTCCACACAGAGGCAGCAGAAATCTGGGTGTGATCTCTGCTCCTAAAAAGGCACGGCACCCTCATCTGTAAAAAGATCCCCCTAGCAAAGGTTAGGAAACGCAATCCCGTTCCAGACAGACCCTGCCTCGGGGGGGAGAGCAGGCAATGGCCAGCCTTCCCCCTCGCAGACTGGCCCAGTCCTGGGGGCTGCTTCTCCCTGCTTGCGTTTTGGCTGTTAACCTGCATACTCAGCATTAATTGGTAAGTTCTTCCTTCCCTTGGGCTTGGTGAGTGGAAATGCATGTATTGGTCCCTGGGCTGCCCATCCTCTGCTTTCAGTAGTTGGGGGGCAGAGTCCCTGAGGAACAGCCTACAAAGGCTCTTCAAGGGATCCCTGCACAGTTCAGCTGCAGTTCCCTCCTGAGCCCCAGCAGCCGCTCCTGTCGGGACACCCTCTCCCAAGGCCACCAAAGGCAGAAGGAAGACAACAAATTGGTCCAACTGAATCTGGAACTCGGGTGACGAAGGGAACCTTCAGCCAGTTAAATTTTGAAGAGTGCTGAAGGCAGAGTGCAGGATCAGCACCTAATGACCCCTGAAGGATAAAATACTCTGTTATCTTCCTTTGGGGTGAAAAACCCTGATCCTAACTTATTTTTTCTTTGAATTGGAGAGAAGAAAAGCTTACCACGTCAAGCAAGACAACAATTCAAACACTGTAAAAGAAAGGAAGTTTTTTCAAGAGTAATAAGCGTTGAACCTGCAGTTCCTTAACAAAAAAAAAAGAGGAGAAATACTACTAATTTATGATCATATAGAGCTGTGACAGATGATCTTGTATCTTTCTGCTGAAGTTATTTTACACAAAGGACAAAGTTGTTTTATTTTCTTTGTTTAAAATTCTTTTGCTTCTCACTGTTTGTGCTGCTTTCCTATGTAGACCTGCAGGAGGGTCTGTAAGCCACACTGCCTGAGCAATCTGAACTGTGACACCAGCTTTGGTTACTGGCACAGTCCTCCCCGTGGACGCCAGCAGCAGGGAAGCACTGACCACCTCCTGTATTTGGCTCATCTGTCTTCTTCCCTTTGAGTACATCAATAGGCACCACAAGCTCTTTGCTATCTCACCACCAAGATGGAGGAAGTCTGGGTTGTGTACCTCTGCCTGGTCTTGCTTATCATCGTGCTTCTACTAATGAGGCAAAACCCGCATGTGGAAGAGGCCAAGAAGGAGAGGGAAAGCAAAAGCTCCCCACCATCCTCTTCCTTTATTCCCAGTAATGTCGGCAAACAACTGGAGCACTCCCAGGAAGAGCTGGAGAGCTACCTGGACAGGCTAACCCACGTCTTGTTTGACACAGAAGCCAGGAAAAGGGATGGCCACCATGATCAGAAGTCCCACCATTACCATCACAGAAGCACTGATGTGATGTTTGAACCCAAGGAGCATTCAGGAAGGGAGGCAGCACACCCCCAGCATCTGCCGAGCTACGCAAGGGTCCAGGTATGAGGCTTATAACGACTTTTCGACCCAACCAGACTTAGAGCTCCTGGGCTGAGGCCATAGTCTATGAACTTGGGTGGGGAAAAAGTGGGGGAAAGTCTTGCTATTTTGAAGTATAATATGTTCCTGGTTTTGCATTGTGTATTTCAACATTAAGCAATCATTCGGAGACAGCTCTATGTGACATGGGTTGTATGTACGTTACACGTGTATGATCTCCGTGTTGGCATTAGCATCTGTGCATGTGTGTGTATCTATATGTAAATTATTCCTTCCTATAGAAATAGGTACCATTTCTTACTTCAAGAAATTACTGTGCAGCACTCCAGCTGTTACAAATTTCCCAGTTTCCCCACATACAGCAGGGTTTTGTTGGTTTGTTCAGCTAAGGATCTGGCCCAGCAGGGAAGAGGAGCTCTGCAGACACCTATCTAGTGGTGAACGCGTGGTGTTGAGCCATGAGAAACGCTTGTGTAATTTTTCTGCTGTGCACGATCATGCCTGGTATACTCTGTAAACATGAAAGTCGCTATTGGCAACCTGTAGAATTCTCTTTGCCTTCGCCAAGGCCCTTTTTTAGAGGATGGAACAAGATGCGTGCCTTTATATTTTTATCATTATCCTCATTGCAATACATCAGATTTTGCCCTTGGGATGACTGAGTTCCATGGCAGCTATGCGAGGCTGTTACTTTATGCTAGCAGCTGTTTATATTCTTCATTCTTGAGACACGTGTCTTGCCGTGCCAATGCCCCACTCTGCCACTGAGCACGTTCTAGGTCCAG